TTTTTTTTTTCATAATTTCATAGTGTTTTGGCCCCAGTTTGGGAGTTAACTATTTGCCTATAGGTGAGATCGTCACAGGTGATATTACCCAGTGTCAAGGAGGACCTAGGAACAACGGCAATTAAGAGATGGTTCCGCGCTCCTCAAAACCTCCTGATCAGTGGTATTGCTGCAGGATATAGTTTATCCTCATACCCAGGAAGCGGCCCAGAACGGGATATATAGTAAAGATTGCTAAGAATTTGAAAATATTGAAGACTGAAGAGAGCAACACCGCGTACTGAAGGGAATACGTCACATAAAATAAGAGGAATCTCTATTTTAGTTTCTTTGTTGTCTATTCATTTCTTATTGCCATTGTTTTCTATGAAAAATTCGTTATTGTCCGTATTCAACTGCTTTAAGTTTCATTTTCAGTGACACCCGTCATAGATATGTATGAACATTTTGTTTGTATCATTAATCTAAGCGAAAAAACAAAATAGATTCATTCTATTCTTGGTAAGTTTCCAATGAAAAGAATGAACGGAAAATTAGAAAATATAATTTCTTGGGGAATCAGTTTTGAGCTACTGTCTTTTCCGGACATACAATTGCTGTTACTTTTTTTTTTTTCATTTGTTCATATCCCAAGAACCTCTAAACTGTAATTGTTACTGATAAAGATATTTCCATTTCATTGGAAAGATGTGGAAACTTCGTTTCCTGATGAATAGCAATTCTGTTTTTACATTAAAATCTTATCCCCGCCGCTGGCCTAATGCATATTAAATCTGAAGTTTCCCAATGAAATGTTTTGACAATGAAACTCTTTGGAAGGCACATATTTTGGCAAGTTGTGAGAGATCCTTGATACAACCACTTCCAAAATATGTCCACAGGACTAATAAATTCCTTTCGTGGTCATGTCGAGAAATTTCATGAATACTTTCTCCTTCTCTCTCTCCCTCCCACACACACACATACACATACACCCATATATATATATATATATATATATATATATATATATATATATATATATATATATATATATATATATATACATTTGCCCAAATAAAATCCGTCAGAGTAGAAAACGCATCGGTTTACATAAGTGTTCCTTTTGTCGTTATTGATATATATATATATATATATATATATATATATATATATATATATATATATATATATATATATAATATATGCGCTGTACTTAGTGGAAAGCGCTCAGAATCAGTGATAGAGCTAACATATTCAACTGAATATATATATATATATATATATATATATATATATATATATATATATATATATATATATATATATATATATATGTGTGTATGTGTGAATGTGTGTATATATATATACACATATATATATACACACTATGCACACACACACACACACACACACATATATATATATATATATATATATATATATATATATATATATATATATATATATATATATATATATATACATTAATAACGACAAAAGGAAAGCAGATGCGTCTCCTACTCTGACGGATTTTACCTGGTCAAATATAAACATTCTATTTTGCAAAAAGTAGTTAAAAACAATAAGAAAAATGTTGTTAATTTTGTTATTTTTTTTAAATTTAAGAAGCGCTCATAAACAATAAAAATAAACATTTTTAAATAGTAAGAACATTTTTAATTTTGTTAGTAAATATTTTTGCACGTTGACCATTTCTGTCAAAGAAATGGGTAGGATAAGATAAGTTTTATTTTTGTCTTTATTCATATTCATTTTACATATATATTTGAGTTATATCTGAAATTTTATACAGATACATACATACCCCCTCACACACATATATATATATATAATAACTTTATATAATAACCCGTATTCGACGATGATCGTCTACTATTGCAGACAATGCTCTGGCATTGCAGACGCACGCTCAGACACATTTGTGTTTATTAAACACACACAGAGCCCACCTCTTGTTTATACTCCAACTATGCTGAGCAGACTTTAGCTACAGTTTCTGGGAGAGAAGCGTGTTATCTAGCGTGATCAACAATCTTAACAAAGCCAGCATACTCAACCCAGTTTCAAACCCAGGCACGTTCCAAAGGGATCGACCCCCTCCCTTCAGACCGATAACACCAGGAAGTCTCCTTCAACCGGATCTAATGGTCAGAAAGCAAACGTTGTACCCACTCGGCCACGTTTCAATATATACTTTTTTTTTACTATGTGTGGATATTGTTGTGTTATCAACAAATATTTGTTTAATATTATATACATGGCTGTTTTTCTAAGTAATGTTGTTTAATGGAACTAAGATCAGAAAGATGACAGGTAATTACGAATTTACGACCTGCGTCTGCTATTCCGCGATCGTTATCGTCGCATAGCAAACGTAAACATAACAGGATGTCATCTTTGATGATGATGATCTCCGATGCAATGTCCATATAACCACTCTGATGATGATGGCTCATGTGAGCCGAAAGCTTAGATCGATGAACAGCATGATAAAAATATATCCAAATGCTGGACAGTTTTTGTCTTTATTTTCTCTCGAAACTAAAGCCACTTATACGAAGCTTAGAACGGCTCATGATCAAATAAAATAGGCATTTGTTGTCTGTTCTATTTAATAATATAAGTGTGAATAATGATATATTTCTTTCTTTTCTGACTGACCTGCCAATCCCACCACGGCAAGAAAATAGAAACTTTATTGTAACCATAACAAAATTTAAGACACACGCCTCCTCTTTAAGTGTCTCCAATACCCGACAGACTTCACGATTGACATTGTAGATTTGCTATATAATATATATCGATAGATCGATATGAACAGAGTTAAATCACATGTGTGTGTTTGTGTGAGTGAGAGGGAGAAAGAGAGAAATAAATATTTATGTAGAGTCTTATGAACACATTGAGATAGATAGATAAATAGAAAGATAGATAACGGACTGACAGAGAGGGATGTATGTAGATACTAAATAATAAATTGAATAGATAGATAGATAGATAGATAGATAGATAGATAGATAGATAGATAGATAGATACGAACGGACTGAGAGAGAGATTATGTAGATACACATAAAAAGATTAAGCTAGATATGAACGGACAGAGAGAGAGAGAGAGAAAGAGAGAGAGATTTATGTAGATACATTTTGATAGATATGAACAGACTGAAATATATATATATAGAGAGAGAGACATTGTACATTTAATCTGCTTTTCTTAACTGTTGAAATCACTAACTTTAAATATTTGTTCTCTAGTTATACTTTTTTCTTTTTTATGCTCTTTGAATTTTCTATTATTATTATTATTATTATTATTATTATTATTATTATTATTATTATTATTATTTATGTCATGTTTCCTGCTTTGTATCCTGTAGAGCCGGGGCCCAAGCTATGGTTCTCTGGACCTATAGAAGAATTCCCATGTAATTGTTAGCTTTTTTCTTAGTATATGGGATGTTTCTAGTAGGGCGATCTTGTGGGCAACCTGTATGTTGATGTTACCATGAATACTGTTAGTAAAACTGTACTTTTCTTTTATCACGAGACCCAGTGCTCCATTTACTATTGGTACAGTCTCAGTCTTCATTCCCAATATCCTGTTAATCTCGGTTGCTATTTACACAATTTCTAGATAATTTTCATGGAGGTGGCACTGCTATTTTAATAAGCATATAATTCCTGAATGTCCTGTCTTTTACCATAATATCAGGTCTGTTGGCCTTTATTTCCCTGTAAGTTTGAATTGGCATGTCACCGACGATAGTTACATTGTTATTTTGCGTAACTGTATCTGATTGGTGATTATACCATCTCTCAGTAGTTTCGATTTTATCCTTCTTGCATATCTTCCAGTGCACTTGTTATATCTGTGGGTATAATCATTTTTTGCTAGTTGCGGATATCCTGATATTTATTATTATCATTATTATTATCATTTAAATACAATTGCAAGAAGGGAATTTGTACGTGGAATAATAAGAATAATAATAATAATAATAATGCAATCTGTGGACAAATATTTTTAAATTAATCAAAAATTTAAAAATAAATACAATTTTTGATTAATTTATAAATATTTGTCCATTGATTGCAACATTTACCGAATTTGCAATAACACTAGATTTTTGGTGACTCACAAATCTTTTAAAGATTTTTTTGTGAATCTCTTGCTTAAAATAAATGCTGTAAAAACCTATTGTGACAAGGGCAAATTAATTTTCTCAATGATTTTCAGTTGATAGACAACTTATAAAGTTAATATTTAATATCTATTCATGCGATGACCGATGCCTAAACTCCATAACAACATTTGATGTCCATGGCACACCTGGAACACAACCGCCCACTCATTGTTCTTGTTTTATTTAACCTTCTATTTTTATACCTATTTCCATATAATGCAATGGCTCCACCTAAATTTTATTTACTATTTATTTTTCATTTGGACTTTACTTTTTCTTCTCTCAATCTGAGTAGATAGATTCGCTTATCGTCCGTTTCATACCCCTCCCAATCATTTCAAAAGGAGGAGATGTTTATCATTTATTTTCTGTTTAGGATTGCCTTTCCGGTTCATTCACTGTCTTTTCCGTCAAGTACTCTTTGGTGTCTTAATGACATTCTAGACATGCTTCGAGTGAACTGACAAAAAAAAAAATAATTATCGAAATGGTGAATTCGGGGATCTATCGAGACGTCTTTTTTTCTGCTTTGGCCTAAAAAGAGACATAGATAGATAGATAGATAGATAGATAGATAGATAGATAGATACGCAAGCATCGATTTTGATAGTTGGCAATAAGAATTATCTTATCATGTTCTCTTTCATTAAGTTCACCGTTTTGAATCACCTACTTTGCAATTTTAAATTTTCTTTTTGATTTTGTTGACTGCAAATTATAGTAGGGTCAGTTAGACATTGTGATAAAAAGAGCACTATAACTCAATTCATTCCGCCAGATATTTCGAAACGGCATCCTGTACTGCTTAGCATTTATGCCGGGCGCCGGATAGATATGAAGAGACTGAATAGATAGATAGATAGATAGATAGATAGATAGATAGATAGATAGATAGATGGTGTTGTGGGCCTCTCCCCTTTTTACATAAGATGGACTCGTCCAAAATATACTTATACTGACACAAACAATACCTGCGTTTCGTCCGGGAAGGTAGACAGTTCCCGAACCCGCTTATGCAGGTTCAAAGGGGATATTTTTTGGCTGAGCCTACGGGCTCGGAGAAACCCATGTTAAACTCGGCCTTGTGCCACATACATTCCTCGTGGGTGGACTGTTAAATATCGAGATACGTTGAGATATGTTGAGATACGTTGAGATACGTGGAGATTCGTTGAGACAGATTGAGAGATACGGAGACTGACACAGGGTGTTCTCAGAGACTTATACAAGAGTCCAGAAAGAGAGAGAGAGAGAGAGAGAGAGAGAGATGATTAAGGCTTTACTTACAGAGACTTGTACATATACTTTCTACTAACCCACAATGCTGGTCTACTAATCTTCACCACAAGTAGTCTTGGAGATCAGAAGAACAAGCCGAAAAAGAAATTCACGGAACCAATAATAATAGACCATAAGAGAAAAAAATATTGATACCCCGCAAAAAAGAACCTAATGATGGGGCTGTTGTGGGGCTCTCCCCTTTTTACATAAGATGGACTTGTCTGAAGTATACTTATACTGACAGAGAGAATACCTGCGGTTGAGATACGTTAAGAGATACGGAGACAGACACAGGGTGTTCTCAGAGACTTATACAAGAGTCCAGAGAGAGAGAGATGATTAAGGCTTTACTTACAGATACTTGTACATATACTTTCTACTAACCCGCATTCCTGGACTACTAATCTTCACTTCAAGTCTGTATTCTTACGTTTAATACACTTATTTTTCTATCTCAATTACTGGCATTGTTTATTTATTGTGCAGGATTCCATTCACAGAATCCACAACAGATAGATAGATAGATAGATAGATAGATAGGTAGATAGATATGAAGTGACAGAAGACCGAGATAGATAGATAAATAGATAGGCAGACAGACAGATAGAGAGGTATGAAGAGACTGAGATAAGGAGTATATCCATGTAGTTAAATACAAAGACATTTTGTCGACAGAAAAGATAATTTTGTGTAAACTATTTATATTGTCTGTGTCCACTTCGATTTTTCTGCAGGGAATTTCTCTACGCTGTAATAGACTTTTATATGTCTGTGTATTTTTTTTCTTCTCAAAATTTTTATGGTTTGGCCGTCAATACTTTTATTCCTTAATTCCCTTCGTTTGTCGTATTCGCATAACTTTGCTAATTTAAACCGAAGCGAGATTTCCAATTCTTTATTTTTAATGAATCTGTCTATATTTCAAATTAATGAAGATTTTTCCAGTAGGACTGTTCTCTACAAAGTCGGGATGTAAACTCGGTTCGTTTCCAGGCCACCAGCATGATTATTTAAAATTCTGTGATTCATTCATCATGTTCTGCAGTTAGCGCATTTTTGCACCGACGTGGTCACCACTAACCTCCACTTTACAATTGTTGAAGTTACCCCGTCCCTTGTGTCAGGTGGATTTGTTGATCTTGTAGGCTTTGCCTACACGGCAGAAGGTGGCTTGTATTCCGATTTTCCTTCTTCTAGACTGGTTACCCGTAAGGCTGTAAGACCCAGTCTGTGCTCCTATTTTATCCGTAGTTGAGGGGAGAAGAGATAGTTTAATACCTTTCCTGGAGGTATTAGCACGTAAGACAATGCAATGAATTGCCTGAAATTCGAACTCGGGTCTCCGGTTCCTGAAACCGAACTGCTAACCATTACACTTGCGAGCCTATCATTATGAGAGACTTAAAAAAAGAAATTCTTCTCTTCCGTGCCAATAACCGTAACTTAACTCGATTATAAACATGAATGTTTGATTTGTTTTGTTCTTGTTTTTTCGGCGTATCCACTTTTTGTGGATAATTACATACAAAAAATAATTTTGGATTGTTAGAGGTATTACGTTTTCTGTATTTACTTGCGAGTGAACATTACACAGTTTTGTTTTTAGAATAACAATGATTTTTCTAGATAGAAAATCCTACTACTTGTTTTATATTCGATATAACCCCATGCAAGGCAGTAAAGGCACTACGGTTTGGTTTGCTTTGTTTCACGGCATATCAAACTCAATGGATTATTTAATGCCGACAATTTTTTTTTATTGCTGGTAATATTTTTTCCAATAAATGTATTGCTGGTAATAATGTATTTCTGGTAATAATTTTTACAAAAAATTATTTTTGATATTAAAACCTATTTTTACGCATTCATAGTATTCTGACCCCAGTTTAGGGGTTAACTATTTGCCCATAGCTGGGACCCCGGGTAAGGGTGGACCTGGTAACACCAGAAATTAAGATGTGGTTCTACGCTCCGAGAAACCTCCTGATCATAGGTCTTGCTCTAAGACGCAATTTATCGTCTTACCCAGGACACGGATGTAGCTTATCGTCTTACCCAAGACGCAAAGCCACTAAGACACGTCAACACAACTGAATATGTCAGCTCTATCACTGGGGTTACAAGGTATGGAAGTATTAGGAGTATGAATATTAATAATGACCTGGTAGACAATTGAGTCATCAGAAGGGTATTAGATAGCGATTTACATTGTATTAAATTTCTTTTTTAGATTAAATTTGGCTGGAAGTCGGAAACTGGAAATTATATTCAACAATACCTCTCTCAGTATTATTACGCGTAAGTGAAAGCAATCATACTGACTGGAATTCGAACTCGGCTCCAAGAATTCTCATGCCCTGTCATTACACATTAAACCATCCGCACATCCAATCGCAAACATGCAGATAAACCTCGCCCTACATTTTAAGGAAGCACTTTGGAGGAACGTAGATAGCTGAATTCAAATACCAGTCGAGTTAAGTGCTAATAAATTGGAAACGTATATATATATATATATATATATATATACTTTTCACAATTTTATATATATATATATATATATATATATACGTTTCTCACTTATATATATATATATATATATATATATATACATATACGTTTCTCAATTATATATATATATATATAAAACACCCATAGTAATATACACACTTACGCACATCATACTCACTCCGTAAGAACCAAATAGCACACGCACTTAACAGAGACACACACCCTTTCCAGGAATTAATAAAACTCTCAAAAAGACCAAGGGAATTCAGAGCAGCATGAATCCATCCAGCTCTTATCTTAAATAACAACTTAAAAGAGACTGTTTCACCAACACAAGTTCTGACCAAAATTCATGTTAAAAAAATAAAAATAAAATATAACAAATAACACTGCAGACAAAAGTTCATTTTCTTCATGAAGACATTCATTTCTGTACTTCGCAGCTACCAGCAAGCAGAATTTTTTTTCTCCTGATGATGGACATATTGGCCGAAACTAGTCGAGGAATCTAAATGAAATAATAAAAACAAAAGAATAATTATACAACCTAGTGTGTCTGAAGATTTTATTTTTTTAATATTTTTTTTACTGTTCAACCCCCCATATATATATATATATATATATATATATATATATATATATATATATATACCTCTCAGCTATGGGGAAATAGCATGAGGGGTTTGGCCCTATATACTTGGTTGGTAACCAGTCTCGAAGAAGGAAAACTCTGAATTCAAAGCAGCCTGGAGTAGTATGACCCTCCGTCAGAGTGTCTTGCCCAGGACATGCCACAGTTGCCGCGACTGCAGTAGATGTGATGCCCTTACAAACCTGAGAGATTACGTTATTTTTGATCGTGATGAATTGTACAATATATAGAACCTGATGTGTCAAATGTGAAACGAAATGTAGTTGATTACGATACAGCTTTGTGTTAGCATGAGCTTTTAAACTCAGCATTATCATCAGTCCTATGACCGGGTGTGATTGTAGGGCCGGCTGTGCTGCTGAGACCCCTAATCAGTCCCCTCCGGAAATCTGGATTGAAAGCAAACATTCTCGAAATTAAAATACAACCGCTTTACCTCAATTAGAAGGTCCACCTTGGTCACGGTCACATGGTCGTTGATTCTCTTAAAAAAACATCTGTTCTGGCTGTTGACTTATGTGTTGGAAGCTGTCTACCAAGCGATGTGGCAGCATACATATCTATGTAGCCTAGTATACTCCAGCGTCCTAGATGGTCTTTATTTTTGCAAGAAGCTTCAACTAACCTTTGGTAGATCATGTTTTCAAACCTGCTCCGGGTGTACCCCCTAATCTTACAATCAAATCCTGCTAGGGGTTACGCTTTAATTGACGATGACTCGACTATGACATATGTAGTAATGGCTGGCATGGTGCCAGTAGCAATTGTAGAGGAAGCTGATAATTTTAATTCACACTTGTTATAACTTGAATAGGACTGCATAATTGCATCCCGCTCTCACCCTTTCACTGCCGAAACTGTTAATTGTAGCCGTCTCTTCTACTCCAATATCTTCATGTCTCGCACTTCTCGCCTGTGGAACTCCCCCCATTTCATGTTTTCCTGATAGCTATAATCTCCAACTATTCAAATGTAATGTCAATCGACGTCTCCTGATGCCTTGATCTATCCCCTATCCTTCTCTTCATCCTTTCCTCTATCACTCCTCTTTGTTCTCGTTCCAACTCGCTCTAACCCTTTTCGTGCTAGAAGCTTCCCGCCTTTCTTGCGGTGAAACGCTTTAAAAAAAAGAGAAGATTATTGTATAAAGCATGGTTTTAAGGTTTTATTTAAACTTGATCGCCCTAAGCAAGGCAATAAAACCACCAAGACACAAGAGGGTTACTCGGTGTGAAAGAATTAGAAAAGAGAAACATTACTCAGGAGCGAGAACAATAGAAGAGTAATCAGGAAGACATTAGATGGCGATTGACATTTCATTTAAATTTTTGAAGATTAAAGTTGACTGGAAATCTTGGAGTTGGAAGAGAGCTTCCTGACGAGAAGTGCTCCCCCCCAAAAAAAAGTGTTAGTATAGAACTTACGGTTTCATCTATGTGTATTCATTAAAAGAGAATAGAAACGCTCTCTGTGATAGAGAGGTTTAAAACTGGCAAGATCAAATGGTGGCTTCCCCTACAAGTAGGGATAGAGTTTCGAAATCTCTCGGAGAGTACATTCTCTTTGTTAAGTTTACTCATATGTGCAGACCGATTGACGTAAGACACACTTAAAAAAAAGATGGCGTCTCAATGACAGATATCCACTAAAAATAAAATCTGAAATAATATATAGATACCGAGTGTAACAGCAAAATTTTTCAAATCGTGTAACAGCATGGGATAATTGTCCATCCCATTAAATGTTTAATATCTAAAACTACACAGAACTATTGAGTTTCTTTTTTCAAGATTTTCAGATAAGACCTTTAGACATCTTGACACCATTTGTTGTAAAGATCTCTGAAAAAATATATGAGTTATTCAGCTAGAAATAAAATAAGTTAAAATGTTATGGTTTCAACCGCACAATGTCTTCCCAAGTGAGAAATGGTTAGACGAAAAAGATCATTCGGGCCTTCGGTAATGGTAGCAACATTCATAATTCTACCTTCAATGTCCATTCATGAACCATCAAGAGAATGGTGAATATGTTTTAAAAAACAGGGAACAGGAGAGAAAAAAACTTGGATCAGGAGGTAACAACAGCAAGAGGGATCATCATTTCCACTTAGAGCTAAATAAATTCTTATTGTTCAAAGTAGATTCCAATATTTTTAAAAAATACGGAGAATTCCAGTAAGATACATTTAATCATTTCTAAGAAACAACGGTTAAAGCTTAATCTAACAATTAGACAATTTTTCTATTACATCTGGTGTGTATATATATATATATATATATATATATATATATATATATATATACCAAAATAAAACATCTTTCGGTCTACAAACAATTATTTCGTCTTCAAGTTTTAAATTTAAGGAAAAAAATTACAGCCTGATGATGGAGAAAGATCTTCGAAGTACTAGCTTTACTTAAAAAATATATATACTAGAAACATCTGACAACATTTTTATAAATGAGGATCACATCATTCAATGGATTAACAGTATTTTAATGCATACATTATGTTCTACTAGCGAAGTGATTTCGCCATTAATCGCATTAATATTGATGCTTGATTCTATGTATGGTTATTTTTTATATATATATATATATATATATATATATATATATATATATAAAAGAAATAACCATACATAGAATCAAGCAGAATATATATATATATATATATATATATATATATATATATATATATATATATATATATATATATATATAAAGAAATAACCATACATAGAATCAATCAGCAATAATAATGCGATTAATATATATATATATATATATATATACGATAGATTCTGTCGAGGAAATGTCTAGGATGGCAAAGTGAACTAACTTTCTTAAGAGCAGACCTAGCAATGAATTCAATATAATCTTTCTACTTCATGTCAATCGAGAATATCAGCGCAAGAAGGCTCAAGGAATCATTCTGTTGGAGGTTAGCATCAACCATACTGATTGAAGGCAGAAAGGTGTCGCGCAGATGATTGACAGAGAGAATTTTCGTGTTGGGGTGGGGCGTTAAAATTACCCTTGCGGAGTTAACAGCTGCTTGTCGGTCATTTTTGAGTTCAGTTGGTAATTTGACCTTGTCGAACTAGTCAGACTTACTATCGAGACCGGAATAAATGGTTTTGACAACAGCATAGATACCAAATTGAGAAGTGATGTCATCAAAAAAGTCCTTGATGTAAATTAAGAACAAGTCATGTCTAATGATAAAGTTCTGGTACAAAAAGATCTAGTACGCTGACAATTTCTAGGACAGATTAACTTCGCACCAAATTCTTTGGGATTCCTTCTTGAACTCAAAAATAACTTGTTGGCACCACCCTAGTCCAAAGTAGATATCATGATGATGGATCTGTCTTTGTTTCTTTTCAAAAAAAGTTACAATTTGATGCTAACCAGATATGTACTCAACCAGGTAATATTGTCGTCTCAAGGGCTGCACTGAAATTAAAGATTTCGTTAGAAGATGGTTGAGATCTTTGATAATTATTCAAAATGCTTTGTAAGACCTTTTGATGAGCTTACGGAAACAAGGTTAAAGATGGGAAGTGCTAAAAGTTAATCACCCGTTGGAAAATATACGATAAAATGCGGGTGAATCATTTCCGGGCGTGAAATTTTCATTTGCTTTATAGACATTAATGCAAGAATGAAAGAAAGAAAGAAACGTGAATAATTAAAAGCAGAATAAAAGAGGAAACAACGAATACATTTATATATATATATATATATGTGTGTGTGTGTGTGTATGTTTGTGCTTGTGTACGTGTGCATGTATGAATTAATAAGAAAGAGAAAATTAAAGCAAGGAGTAAGAGATTAACGATACACAAGAGTAGTATTTGATAGATAGATAGATAGATAGATAGATAGATAACGAACACACTGAAATAGATAGATAGATAGATAAATAGATAGATAGATAGATAGATAGATAGATAGATAGATAACGAACAGACTGAGATAGATAGATAGATAGATAGATAGATAGATAGATAGATAGATAACGAACAGACTGAGATAGATAGATAGATAGATAGATAGATAGATAGATAGATAGATAACGAACAGACTGAGATAGATAGATAGATAGATAGATAGATAACGAACAGACTGAGATAGATAGATAGATAGATAGATAGATAGATAGATAGATAGATAGATAACGAACAGACTGAGATAGATAGATAGATAGATAGATAGATAGATAGATAGATAGATAGATATGAACAGACCGAGATAGATAGATAGATAGATAGATAGATAGATAGATAGATAGATAGAATGAGTGAGTGAGCGAGATAGCGTACATATAACTATAATCAGAAAGAAGAAAAAAAAAGGAAGGAAAAAAGAAAGAAACGGGAAAGAAATCAATGATGAAAAGTATGCATAAAAGAGAAAGCTGCGTATATCTTTGCGAGGTGGTGGTGGTGGGGGGACGATGAAAAAAGAAAGAAAAAAGATAATGTAGGCAAAGAAAATGTGTAGGATTTGAAAGAAAGTTACAAATAAATATTGTCAGAAAGAAGTTCAGAAAAACGAAAGAAAGAAAATAGAATACGGACTAAATATTTCAGGGTGTGAAATATTCTTTTTTTACTCAACAATAAGGTAAGAAAGAATTTATGTAAGAAAAAAGGAAATAAATAAAGAGAGAAAAAAAAAAGAAAGAAAAAAGAATGAACGAACAATAAAAAGATGATTAACAGAGGGAATCACGACTTTAAAGAAAAAATGAAAAAAGAAACAAACGAGTAAGAAAAAATGGCGGAAAGGGAAAAGAAAAGAAGGTACAACTTACGTATGTTAAAGAAAACAGGAAAGAAAGACATAATGATAAAACGGTAACAAGAACGAAAGAGGAAAAGAATAATTATAAATGAATGACAAGTATCTAAGAGAGAAAGCGAGAGTGAAAGAGAGATATAGAGAGAGATTTAGAAAGACCACGACAAGCAAAAGTAAGATTTATATAAAGGGAAGGAGATAGAAAGAATGAAAGGGAGAAAGAGAAAGAGAGAGAGAGAGAGAGAGGTACAAATGAACAGTACTAGAAAGATATCCAGGAATAACACAAAGAAAGAATGGGTGTTTTAAAGAGAAGAGGAAAATAAAAAGGACAAAAACTTGAGAGAGAAAAATGGGAAGAAATAAAGTTGTAAGAGAAAAATAAAAACGCACCCCCATATATATATATATATATATATATATATATATATATATATATATATATATATATATATATATATATAAATTTGTTCACGATGTATGAAAGTTTTTATTTAATTAGTTTTTATTGATTTAGTTCAATATTTTGATCTATTTTCCTGATTTCAGTTGAAAGCTCTATATTTCCGATATCTGAGCAATTCGACTGACTTAGTCCTTTATTATTTGTTATAAATTCTTTTCATTACTTACATTGTTTATACTTGAAATATTGTCATTGTCTTTGTTGTTATGATAACAACGTTTTTAGATGCTTTGTCCGCCAATATTCATCAGGTATTTACCGATCAGTTTAACTTCAAAGAATTTCGAAGGGAAACTTTTATTTATTTGAATTTTTTTCGTTCCTCTATTCACGTCTAGGAATATATCATTAATCCTTAATTAGTATCGTTCAGTTGTTACAACAATTTAACTCCTGAGTCTCTAGTATATGGCTGGCCAAACGAATCCCTGTATGCTTGTCTACTAGGGCGGCTAGTCAGTGCATATGATAGATATCAATCGGTAATTTATTGCTCAATTATTACACCCCTTTTACCCCTATACCTCTTGTCCATGGCTGGCCGCACGAATCCCTGTATGCCTGTCTTCTACGGTGGCTAGTAAATCCATGTGAAAGATATCATTAATCCTTAATTAATATTGCTCAGTTGTTACACCCCTTTTATTCCTGAGTCTCTTGTCCATGGCTGGCGGCACGAATCCATGTATGCCTGTCTACTAGGGCGGCTAGTCAATCCATATGATAGATATCATTAATCCTTAATTAGTATTGCTCAGTTGTTACAACCCTTTTTACCCCTTAGTCTCTAGTCCATGGCTGACCGCTCCAATCTGTATACGATTGTCTACTAGGACGTCTAGACAATCCATGTGACAGATATTAATCCTTAATTAATATTGCTCAGTTATTACACCCCTTTTATTTCTAAGTTTCTTGTCCATGGTTGACCGCTCAAATTCATGTATGCCTGTCTACTAGGACGGCTAGTCAATCCATATGATAGATATCATTAATCCTTAATTAGTATTGCTGAGTTGTTTTACTTCTGAGTCTCTAGTCTATGGCCGGCCGCACGAATCCCTGTGTGTTTGTCTACTATGGCGGCTAGACAATTCATGTGACAGTAGCCTGCTCAAGCTCATCTGTGTGTATTTAACAGCCACATAGCCCATCTTCCTTTTGTACTGCCACTCTGCAGATTGGAACTTAGAGAGAATGGCTTAATCAACACTGGGTACAGGGTATGAACGTTTATATCGTCGGTAACGACAATTTGAGACTTGACACAGGTACGAACATCGAGTGTTCTCAAATAGTACTTTTATCATATTTCACTTCCAAGGCCGTTGTATAACTTTTAGACATTTAAAATGGAACCACACGTTGGGATCATCTCCCTAGGTTGATAACATCACAAAGACATCTTTCCTGATTAAGTGACTATAGTAAGATTCGAACCCGGTTTTATTGGTAGGAAAGCGAAAGTTCTAACCATTCGGAAACGCGCCCTTTGTCCTGATCCTAATTCAGCCCGAACTCTGGTACAGGCAATGAACTTACAATTACTATGTCACCAAAGTATGTTTAAAATGAATTCGACAAAATGTAAATCTATATGTAAACATAATTTCCCATCCCGGTAAGAGCAGACAGAAATTTCCTTTGTTTAATATTTTTCCATTATCATGTTTCACGCGTCAGTTCATTTTGTCCTGTTTATTTGTTCTTCTTATTTATGAATACACACACACACACACACACACACACACACATATATATATATATATATATATATATATATATATATATATATTTCAGTCAGTTATGTGTCATACGTGATAGGCGATTAGGCCATAATTTATCTTTTGATGCATGACTGACGAGGCAGATTTTTTTCCCCGCGGTAGTTGGCTATTTCTTAACTACGGTAGATCAGTTGCCATCCGAGGCTATAGAACCTGGTCTGTCCTGCTACTTACCCATAGCTGAGGGGTGGGGAGAAGAGCATTCATACCTTTCCAATGGGTATTAGCACGTAAGTGAATGGAATGGATATATATTTAGTAAATCTGTTACTAAATTCGATAATATTCTACTCGTTTTGTTTTATTTTGCTTTATGATTAATGCTTCTAGAATTTGCAATCGTTTTTAGAAATTATTTCATATTATTTTTTCGATCGGAAAAAATCATTATAGGAAGACGAAATGGGGATAAAATACAGACGTAAAGCAATAGTAGAAGACTCATCATGAAGCTGAAAACGCTACCGAAGAGCACATATGAAATATATTAGAAAGACGTTGAGAAAGAAAAAGAGAGAAGAATTTAAATAATGAAGGACGAATTACATGTAAACATCTGCAAATATTTATTTTTATGTGTGTGACTGCGTGTGTTTGTGTGTGTGTTGCAGAATAACAACTTGAGAAGAATGTGTAAGGAAACAAGTTACAGGGCTAAGCTTAAAAATATTCGTCTTTGTTTGACCTGAGAATTGCACGGCGAAATTCTGGCGTTTACCTTGACGTTATAACTTTCTAGCGTCACAAGAACGCTAGATATTAGATCAGTTACAACGTATGTATCTTATTCTGTTTTGTCGGCATAATTCACAGACACAGACAGACACACATACGAATGCAAGCAGAAACACATCTGACCACTGAAAATAAAATTGCACCTGGTTAAGAGATGATACCGATTTTAATCTAGGCATAATAAGCGACAGGAAATATTCCGACAAACTTGACGAGACGATTAAGGAATCCACAGAGCTTTATGCAACGTAGAAGCGCGCATCGACATTTTTGTTTAATTTTTGCCGTTTAAGAGGAATTAGATTATAATCTTTCGGGACACTGGCTGGACATTTTGAAGAATCACTGCACAAAGAGTGACACATTGGTCGTAATTTGATATCGGCAACATTGGTGTTGTTGTGTCCTCCCTCTTAAGACCGCTAGTTCATTCACTATACACTCACTAGTCGTCTAATATTCTTCAGGTATATTTTCTGTTTAATATACAATATATCTGCAAACCTGGTTTTGTTATTACTAACCATTTACCTGTTCACAACAATTGGTCAAATGAATGCTCCGGACGGTGACGTAATATCATTGTCACTAATATCGGCCCATTACAAGAGGAAGAGTAACCGACTGCACTTCGCCCAGAGCAGAGATTAGAGCAAATGGAGTCTCAGGATTTCCAAGGGGAATCTCTAGGAATTAATTAATAAAGACTGTTATCAGGTGTCCATATACTCGACAATACTGTTGTGAGCTTGAGTAATATCGCGAGATAATCAGCTGTAGGATCGATGGTTATTCAGGAGTATTCAATGCTGAGAACAACTTCTAACTTCATGGAGATGGTACTCGTTTATATGAGTGATACAAACATGGAAAGTGTCATTTATTTTTGTGTATTGGCCCAACATTTTTATTATTCAAGAGGAAATGCTTCAGAAAGCAACTCCGCCTCTTCTAGTGTTAGGACAAAATCAATGACTATATAGTCATTGATTTTGTATATACGGAGCAAGGTCAAAAGTCTCATGGGCCCAAAGTAAGTAAGTGCCGAAAGATGACACGGTTTAGCCACGTCACACGTCTCTTCAAGATCATTACGTAAGACATTGTTGAAGGTAGACTTATGCGGGGACGACAACGCAGCAGCTGGTCACACATCATCAAAGAGTGGGCGAACATGATAATGACACCGCTAACAGCGGAGTTTCTCTGTTTCATCTGCCCTTAGGTACTGCCGACCATTGAAGCCGTCAAGGGACTGATGATGATACACTCAAGATATTGATTTATTTTGTGAGGTTACAACTCTTGGTCACCATTGTTGCTGTGAAAGCTGGTGTTAGGTCTGTACTGGTATGGGTGTGTTTTGTCGAGTAACTCAAAGATAACTGCTGCGCCTGTTGACATAGAAATGACATTTTTGTAGAAGATATGATTTTACTGAGTTTTATGATGTCAATGAACACTCGTTTGAGATTTTTGTGATGCCACCGAATACTTATTGTCACTTTCATAATCCTTGTTGTAGTAGAGATTTTGTAATCGCAGATACAAATATAGTACACCATTGAACAATACTGGTGTCAGACGCCTTCGAATAAACTCGAATTCATAGTACTTGTTTGATAATACTCGTTCGAATAGTAGCTACTGTATAGTGATCCGAATAGTTGAGATAGTATACTGAATAGAGTAGATACTAGTGGTCCCTATAGTATTAGACGAAAGACTAGAAATAACGATCTGTATGGTAATAGAGGATAGACTAGAAATGGAGATCATTAGTCGTCGGCTACTTCTTACGTATATGCGTTTCCTCTATGGTCACGTGATCCGCTTAATTCAATAATAGGGTCGACTGTGTTTGCTCACTGGAGATCAGTGTTCAAACTAAAATGTCGGCAGCGACTCTTTATTCCTATATAACACTGAGAATAAAGAATTAAAACAGGCAGAAATTACGATAGTAAACTAGAAGAAGATTCAAATGCCATTGACGAATTGGGGATGCCAAAATGAATTCGATATAAGTCGACCATTGATCCTAGCTTTGAATATTACTGCCACCTCTGGTTTGGTGCTACTGCTATATATTTAGAGATTCTGGAGAAAATTACAACCCTAAACCTCGCCTTGCGTAAGAACAACCATTTAGAAATGATTTTAAAAGAGAACAGAAAAAATGACACCGAAATCAGAAGTACAATTGGTAGCAGTGAAAGATGCCTTCGAAATTTGAAACTACGTATTAAGAAAAAAGAAAATTTAACAACAACGCGTATTAAAATGTCATGCAATTTCGTTCCATATATATGTCGCTGAATGGTTGGAATCTCTTAAAAGATGAAGAAGAGATTTAAGGCGACAGACCTGTGTTTCTACAGAAGGATACTGAGAATGACATGACCTAAACACGCGAATAACGAGGAATTTTTAAGGGAAATGGAAACTAAAAGGACAATTAAAAATAAAACCAGAAAGGGTTGAAATCGCCAACAGACATAATTGGAAAAGAAGACATGGAGAATGAAATACTCTCAGGGCATAGTGTAAGCAAGAGGCACAGATTGAAACATCGTGTAAATTAACTAACATGCTTGTACAAATGAATGGGCGTGGAAGGGATGATGAAAAGAGTATGCTGTTGCAAAGTGTTGCAAAGGATAGAAAGATGAAGGTATCTATGATCCATTAAGGTGTGAGAAGGGACACAGTGCAGGAAAGACGAAGACGAAGAAATGATTTCTGATAGATGTTTCTTTCAGCAATTATCCATCTTTCACAAAAAAATGATTCCAGAAAACCTCGACTGATTTTCGCTCACTAAAACTGATTCTATCTTCCATCTCTCAGACAAAGTATTTCCCCTGACATAAAAAGGAAATATTCTCTTGTATCAATTGCTAGGTCTGCTGCTAAGAGAATTGCTTTACTGTATTGGGCGAGGCGATTTTTCCCTCCAGAATCGAGAATTACATGTTTATAAGTCGACCATTCGTCTTTGCTTTGAATATTGCTACCACATCTGGCTTGAATATTGCTACCACCTCTGGCTTTGAATATTGCTACCACATCTGGCTTTGAATATTGCTACCACATCTGGCTTAGAGATTCTGGATAAAACGCAAAGAATAATATACGATGTTATTAATCCTGATTTGACATATTGTTATAATGGAACACACTTATTCTATAGCTAACAGACTCTCCCACCTATAATAAGTAGGAGTAGTAAGAGTAACAAGGGGTCGCTCAGTGGGTCGGTCTGAGTTCAGTCTGAAGTCGGACGACCGGCTGACCGGTTGAACTCTCTGCCTTCAGGCAGGGAGGAACCCGAACGAAGCTACGCCGAAGGGCGGATTCTCTTTCGGGAGGGCAAACCGACCCTGAACCCGTTTATACGGGTTTTAAAAGGGCATATTTTTGGCCGAGCCCACGGGCTCGGAGATCCCACGTTAAACCGGACTTGTGCAACATGATGCCCGCGTGGTGCGGCGATTGAATATCGCTCAGTGAGTTGCTCTGAGTTCAGTCTGAAGTCGGACGACCGGCTGACCGGTTGAACTCTCTGCCTTCGGGCGGGGAGGAACCAGAACGAGGCTACGCCGAAGGGCGGCGTCTCTTTCGGGGAGATAAACCGACCCTGAACCCGTTTATACGGGTTAAAAGGGCATATTTTTGGCCGAGCCCACGGGTTTGGAGATCCCACGTTAAACCGGCTTTGTGTCATATGAGGACTTCGTGGTGGGGGTGACTGAATACCGCTCAGTGAGTTGGTCAGTGAGTTGATGCCGGACGACCTTTAGTCGGATAGTAAAGTATCAGCGACCACAACTAGATTTCTCAGCGTCATTACCTATTATATCAAGTTCCTAACGTTTTGAACGTCGAAACGATTTTAGGACCGACTTAGTACAAATACTGTGAAATCACTCCATAACACATATCGGCTTCAGAAAATTTCCTACCTGCATACTTCTCCGCACATTTTTTTAAAATAAATAACTTCATGGTAATTGATCTGATAAACTTTTCTCTATGGTACGTAAATTTTATGAATTGAAGCTTAGTACAAGATTGGCGACAAGATGTAATTGTAGGTTGTATGTTAACAGTTTCTTCTGTTAGAATTCTCGCTTGTGGAACCCTCGTCCGGCTTCTTGCTTCCCAGTCAAGTAGAAAAAGTTTAAATGCAATCATCATATTCTGTCTTAATTCTTGTTCTTTTTTTGTTCTCTCTTTTTAATAATATTGTTTTCCCCTCTTTTCGTATTCCCTAACACTGCGTAGACCCGGTGTCTTTGTGGCTTTGTTGCCTTGTTTGGGCTGAAATGATTACGTGTATATATATATATATATATATATATATATATATATATATATATATATATATATATATATGTGTGTGTGTGTGTGTGTGTGTGTAAAAATATATAGAAAATAGGAAAGAACTGCTTAGGTAAATGATTCAATGTTCCTTAGTATTTTTTTGTTATTATTTTAAAAAAATAGTACTCGATACAAAAGTAGAGCATAAATATAATTATTTATTTAAAATATGTTTCAAACTCGCGACATAAGAGGTCTCATGTTTCAAAACAAGACCCGAAAACTTCAATATAATTATTTGAATTAAATTGAATTAAAGTATGCTCTGTTCCATCTTCTTTACTTTAATTCAATTTAATTCAAATAATTATATTGAAGTTTTCAACTCTTTTTTAAACATGAGACCTCTTATGTCGCGAGTTGAATCATATTTTTTAATAAATAATTATATATATATATATATATATATATATATATATATATATATATATATATATATATATATGTCTACCTTTCAGCTTTGTTTTTGGATATTGCTGCCACATATGGTCTGGTGCATCTGCTATATATTTAGATATTCTCGAGAAAATCCAAAGATTTTCGGCAATATCTGCATCACACCTTCAGTCAATTTCCCAGCACCATAGCATAGCTTCCTTTTGCCTTTTATATATATACTTTTATAGTAATTGTCATTTTATAGTAAGAAATTTTCTTTTATGTGACCTCGACTTTATGAATTTAAGCCCAGTAATAGATTAGCGACAACGTCTCACCAATTTACAGTTGAAATTATTAAATGTAGCCGTAAGTTTACTGTTAACAGTTTCTTCTGTTGCAATTGTCGCTTGTGGAACTCACTTCCGGTTTCTTGCTTCTCTGTCAACTTTGTTCTTCAAAAGTTTAAATGCAATATTAATCGCTCTCTTTTGTCTTCGTAATAGATATTCTTTTATTGTTCCCGCCCCTTAATATTCTTCTTATATTCTCCAACACTCAGTCAGTTATGTTCCATGCGTGATATCCTCTTAGGCAATCATGTATCTTTCGATACATAACTGACAAGTCAGATTTTTCCCCGCAGTAGGTTGCCATTTCTTTCTGCGGTAGACAAGTTGCCATCCGTTCTGTCCTGCGGGGAGAGGAGGATTCATATATTTCTCAAGGATATTAGCACATAAGTGAATGCAGTTGATTCGACTGGAATTCGAACTTGGCTCTCCGATTCCTCAATCTGATCCGCTATTAATTATTCCACCGTGCCTCTAAAACCCAGTAACCTGAATTGATATATGTTGCATTTTTCTTTTTTTTATAGCACCACTTCCTATAATTTTTGACTAGACTTCGTATAAATATATGAATTGATAGAAATAAATCATTCACCCTTATATACTTGCTATCACTCGGGTACTTCGTGACTTAGATGTTAATTCCGAGATTCTGAAAATTGTCACCTCAGTTCCTACATTACAATTTCTATCATCTACACCTTTATCAACACTTCTGCCATCTTGTTCTGCGAATGTAGCTTACTAGCCAACAATTTCTTTTCTTGATTACGGTCGCAGTTTGCTGGAAAAGACGTTTCCTGTTCAAATTAACTTGTCGTTGTCGCTAAATAAATGTCGCGCCACACTTGTATTAATCAGTCTGAGCCTTTGATTAAAGATCTGCTCGTAAAATGATTGTTTCTGTTGCTGATTTTTTTTTTTATTTCGGATTTTTGTTTTAATATTTTTCAAGTGTATGCAGCTGCCAAAACGGATAGGGACACTTTAAATGAAATCGATTTATCTTTTAGGAAAGGCATGAATCCAATTATCCCTCTACACTTCACGTATGGGTTAAGAAGACTTAGAATCAGAAAGAGTTCAATTTACTGGAGCACATTATGAAAACAGAAATTGACACGCAGAATATACTGAAATTAAATGAGATATAACTAATGTTATTTTTTAAATGGATAATGGAACATGAACAGAGAGGGGTAGTAAGAGGATAAACGTTGCTTAGTGGGAGAAGTTGTTGAGAATTATGACCTCCCACGTCCTGGAAGGACACGGCACGTAAAAATGAAGTAGCGCAGAGAGCCCTCTGCATTTTTTTCAACCAGTCTTATTCCTCTTCTTTTTCTTTCTTTCTTTCTTTCTTTCTTTCTTTCTTTCTTTCTTTCTTTCTTTCTCCTCTTCTTCTCTCTTTCTTTTTTCATCCTCCTTTTTTCTTTCTTTCTTTGTCGTCATCTTCCTCTTCTTTTACGTGTCCAACTTCTTCATAGCTTCTCTTTCCCATCTATAAATATTTTCGCGGTAAATGTTCTGAAGATCTAACGCCATTCTTAACTTGATTTCATGATTTTAATCGCAGTTCTAGATTTCCATGTAAGTCTCATAATTTCGCTGTTAAAATTGCTGTATGTAACCGTAAGTTCTATACCAACAGTTTCTTCTCACGTATTTCCTACTCACAAAACCCTCCTCTGGCTTACTGTTTAACTATCAAGTACGATTTTCCAAAAATGTAAATACAATCTCAATTCTCATGTGTCATTGGGCCGTGTTGGCGTACGGATACATCACGCTGAAACAGCAGTTCCCATACGATCACCGAAGTTAAGCAAAGTCGAGCCTTGCCAGTACCAAGATGGGTGTCAGCTTAGAAACAGCAGGTGCTATAATCTTGGATTTGTGGGTGAGCAATGGATAATTGCTCGGGAATGTTAATCGGAGAGCCGTGTTCAAATACACGTTTATTATATGCACTTATGGCCAAATAGCGTTGGGAAAGATATGAATCAAACTCTTCTCCCCGCAGCTATGGATTAATTAGTAAGATTTGTATAACTAAATTATTATTATATCGAACACAATTCTTTTCATCTAAAATGGCTTTAAATAACCTACACAGGGTTGATAAGAGGTAGAAGATGATAATTTATCAATCATTGAACCCTCTACTTTTACTTCGTTTTTTCTTCGAATTTTAGTAACACCTTACAACCTACACTATTTACATTATCCTGAATATTGTCCTCATTTTTGCCGCCATATTTATTACAACGTTACGGCCGTTGTACGCTCCGGTCTTCTTCAGGAAGTTGGAATGTCGAACTGAACCCTTTATTTCGCTCACTGGGGTAGACTGTTCTAGTTCCACGTGCCATGTCTAATGGATGTAAGTTATCAGTTATCTCCTGTTAATTCCCCTCTCCAAGTACTGCAATGCCTTAACCGACACACGGCACAGTGGATAGAGGCGTTGGTTAGATACAGTGACAAGACCCAAAGTGTGTGTGTTCAATACCCAGTTCGGTTCCAACTACCTGAGGAAGGACGGAGCGTACAATGGCCGAAACGTTGTAGTAAATATGGCGGCAAATAAGTGGACAATAGTCCGAATAATGTAAATAGTGTGCATAATACCTCATCTCAGAAATATAGACAGATACCTTACATCCTAGTATCTTTTTTTGCCTTGCTTTAGGTAGAATAATTAAATTCCTTTTACCTGTGTTTACTCTTTCGTAGTCTGTTAAGCTTTTATATCGTCCTTATTTTTCTGTCTCTTTCCTGTTGATTTCTCTGTCGTTAAATATGTCTTCCCCATTCTGTTCCTTCTCTTTCATTCACTTGTCTTTCCGTTTGTTTTCTTTTCTCATGCACGCACAAACATGAAAGTTAAAAAGACTGCAGCCAATCTCTTGTTTTGTTGAACTCTTTGCACCGACTTTGAAATACTTAAAAACAAGTATTTGTTTTTCGATTTAACCTTCCTATATTTGTCACCCTCAAAGCATGACGTCTAGTTCTATACACGTTTTTCCCAGGAAGCACGAGGGCATTGCACTAAGATGTGTAAGATCAGTACGAATACTTGATAGGTTTCGCGTGCCGTAATTAAGGCCGAGACAACTAAAGAAATCGTTCTTCTCAAGAAAATCCCATTTAAAAAAAATGATCAGTAGAGGATGATGGTCAAGATCCCATTCCTACTAAAATGGCTATGGGTGGGGGTAGATCTTGGTTTCGTCTCTTTCAATTTATCTTTGGTTTTGAATTTTACATTTTTACAAAGGTAAAAAGAAAAAAAGTTCTACTCTTTGTCAATGTAACAAGATATTCACGTGCAGTCTTCCATCAACACTTTAATTAACTGCTGCGTCCACAACAATTAAAACTATATTAAGAACCCTGTTAAATAGTTTGAACATGAGCCATTCCAAACTCCGTATGGTTGCTTTAATGTCACGGGAAAATAACGATATAACCACTCTAAAGATGGCTCACTTGAGACGAAATCTGAGATCAAGGAACGGCTTAATACAAAAATAACCAAATTTTGGAGAATTTTGACTTTATTTTCAGCCAAAATTAAAGCAACCATACGAAGTTTATAACGGCTCAGCATTAAACATAATAGACATTCATTGTATGTTATATTTAACAATATATATTTAAATAATCATCTGCTGCCGCAATACACTATATATATATATATATATATATATATATATATATATATATATATATAGTGTGTTGCAGCAAAATCCGATGATAAAAAGAAAACCAAATAGGCAATAAAAACAAAAGATGTATATGCAGAGACCCGACAGTTTATTTAGCAACAGTTAGAGTTTCATACTGTATTATTTTTCTATGTAATCGCCGGCGGCGGCAACGACCATCTCAAGGCGGGCGCGAAATGAGTCACACTCTTTGGCGACCATAACCTTGTCCATAACGGCGAATGATCCCGCTCAAGAAGAAATAGTCAGGGGTGTTTAAGGTAAAGAGGGCGGCCACAAGTCCGGCGACCAGTGGTGAGGAACATTGTTGAGCAGCCACGCCTGGGTCTTGCTGGAAGACGTAGAGTCGTCCGGCGGCGATCTCGTCCATCCAGGGCTTCACTACGCTCCACAGCACCTCCTGGTAGATCTCAGCGGTGACACTCGGGCTCTTTTGAAAGAAGAACGGAGACATGGCGCACCCCTCGCTAGAGATGACACCAAGGACTGTGACGGAGGAGGGGAATTTCGTATGCTTCACGATGGGAACCTTCTCGATGTCTTTGCAGATACACCTGACGTTCTGCCTGTTGCTCGTCTGGTCCTGGATGAAATTCTTATCATCAGAATAGAACCTCAGCATACGTGCTTGACATCGTTCATCAGAGCCGCCGTCTCCTTGGACACATTTGTGATGAACATACGGTGAGACTTGCGGTGGAAGGAGTAATCATTGTCCTTCTTGATCGTTCGGAGGATCGTCGACTTGTGACAGCCCATGTCAGCCGCAATCTTGGCGTAGCTCTGGCTTCCATCATTGTCGACTGTCTCCTTAACGGCGGCGACGAACTCGTCGGTAAGATATCTGTCTATATTTCTGAGATTTGCCGCCATATCGGCCGAAGAACCAACGTTGTAGGCCTTTCGTTTGGCAGTAAATTCGTCGTTGTTATCCACTTCCTCCAAATATTCATCACCATGGTTCTCTTGAACCCAAACCAGGCCATCACTTCGGCAGGCCTCTTCCCGACGAAACAAGAAGCTACTACCGCTGCTCTGCGCTCATATTCCATCCTGGAAAATTGTAGAAAGAAAAACGTTAGTTAGTTGTCAAACTCTCGTGTATCTGCATATAAAACGTTTGTTTTTATTGCTTATTTCGTTTTCTTTTTGTCAAGTGTTGGATTTTGCTGCAACAACCTGTATATATATATATATATATATATATATATATATATATATATATATGTATGTATATACAAAGTGTTACAGCAAAATTACCAAAATCGTGTAGAAGCATTGGATAATTGTCAATCCCATAATATGTTTGATATCTTAAGAATAAACTAATTGAGATTCTTTTTTCCAGATTTTTAGATAAGACGATTCCCCATCTTGGCACCATTTGTTGTAAGAATCACTGAAAAATAAGAGTTATTCGGCTAGAAATATAACAGGTAAAAATCGTTTGGTGTCAGCCCCACTATGTCTTCCCAACTGAGCAATGGTGGGAGGAAAAAGATGATTCAGGCCTTCAGTAATGGTACCAACATTCATATTTCCATCTTCAAAGTGCATTAAAGAATTATGAAGAGATGGTGAATAAGTTTTACAAAGAGAGAACAGTAGAGAGGAGAACTCGATCAGGAGTTCACAGCAGCAAGAGGGATCATCATTTCGACTTAGAGCTAAATACATTCTTATTGTTCAAAGTCCCAGTCCAATAGGGTTGTAAAAACCTCGTAGAATGTCAGTAAGATATATTTAATCATTTCTAAGATACAACGGTTCAAAGGGTAATCTAACAATTGGACAATTTTACTGGTACACGATTTTGGATATTTTTTTGCTGTACACCCGGTATAACTATCTACTATATATTATTTTCGTTCTCATTACATTCTCATATATATATATATATATATATATATATATATATATATATATATATATGCACACGTTGCAGAACAGCTGAGAATCGAAAACAGTAAAATGAATAACATATAAATTCAAAAGGAAAAATAACATTTAAGTTGTGGCGTATTCACTTGCTGGAATATTTTGACTAACTTTAAAGAAATATGGTCCTCTAGGTTTTACAGAAAATGGAAACAAATAGGAAACTGATACTTAACATGAGGAAGAGGCGGTTGAAATTTATGTGACGCGTAATGAGAAAGGAGGGCTTAGAAAATCTGATACTCACAGGACAGATTGAGGGAAAGCGGAACAGATGTAAGCAGCGCGTATCATACTTGATGATTTTGCGTAAATGGATGGTAGATCAGAATTTTTGCGAGATAACAAAAAGACAAATCTTATTAAGTGCTACAAGGGACAGGAAGATGTAGAGGGCCATGATCGCCTGCTCCCGGATGAGACACGGCGCATAAAAAAAGAAACTGATAATGATAAAGGGATTGAAGAAGGACTGCAATTCTTTAAAGACAGCAAATTTGGCTGATATTCCATTGAAAGATCACCAGGTTTTGAAAGAACTTCAACAAGCAGACGACAGGAGAAAGACGAACGCGCTAGTGTGCCAATAAATGGAATATGAGAGTCTAAAACATGTGGCAGCTCCGGATATTTGACAGACATATCCACTTTCCATCTTTGCATTTATACCACTGCCTAGAGTTTATACAGGGTGCGATGGATAAATTGTCATCTAAATACGCAAAGAAAGGACATAACACTGACATGACATTTTAATGGAAATGTTTATAAAAATTACGCAAAAATATGTTGAATTACTAATGTGTAAACGTATTCAATAAAATCGCCATTAGCTTCAACCACGATTTCAAGACGAATTCGGAATCTCCTGCAACTCTTCTGGACGGTCTCCTTGTTGAAGTTAGTAAATGCTGTCATAATCTTTGCCTTCAGTTCATGCTCCACACATAAAAATGAAGGGGGTTGCAGTCTATGAAGTTAGGTGGCCAGATGTAACGTGTGACGTGACTGCAAAAATTGTCTGATAGCCATGACTGGATACTCCTGATTGTGTGGCATTGTGGAGAGACCTGTTGCCAGATATAGGGTCTTCCAGCAGCCACCCTCCTGAACCTGGCCAGCAGTACCTCCCCAAGGCACTTGCTGTAGGTGTCGGTGTTGCGTCTGAGACTCTCACCCACAAATTCGGCAGTTCTCACAGTCAGAGTGAGTTTTCCGAGCTACCATATCTTCGTAATAGAGATTGACACCCCAAAACTCTGAAATTTGAATGTCCGGCGCACTACAGCATGCTGTTTCCAAATATCTGGCTGAATGAATTGAGTTATAGTGCACTTTTTACGACAATGTCCAACTGACCCTTCTATAATTTGCAATCAACAAAATCAAAAATAAACCACACGCATGCGCAAAATTAAAAATATAAAATTTGGCG